TTCTCCCATGAATTCTCGAGCATTTTTCCCATTCAAAAATCCAGTCAGGTTGATTTGCATCATTTTGGAATCTGGATTCTTCACTTCCAGCTGGTTGAATATAAACTCAATCACAACATCATCTTCAAATCCAAGGATTTCAGTTACTCTTTTTGTTATCCAAGGCTTTATAACCTCCAAATTTACTTTGCTCATGTCCACCTTTTTTTCTAGGCATTCTGCAAATTTCAGTTGCTTGAGGAGTTTCTTTTGCTAGTTGCTGAACCGATTATCCTGTTCCGCACTTGTTCCACGGAAGAATCCCGCGTCCATCTTGCTCCCTCGCTCGGAGATCGCTCCCTATCCCAGCGTGCACCGAGCCGCGGCCGAGATGGAAAAATTTATGTCTTCATTTTCATTGGACTTTAAAAAACGAGACACCCAACAATTATATCAAACATTGTTATAATGTGGTCAAATCGCTATTGTAATATTAAAGAATCCGGGGAATTCGGGGCATCAAATATTTTGCTCTGAGATGAATGTATCTCTACATTCCACTTATTTATAATGAATTTCTATAATCTACATAGCAAACTATGGGAACAAATACCAAAAAAAGCCAAACTGTTATGCTTTGACATGACATGTCCCACACAGGCTCATGTGCTAGAAGTGTGGTCCCAGATGGTGATGCTTTCTTAGAAGTGCTATAAATGTTAGGAGCTGGGGACTACTTAAAGGAAGTGGGTTCTTGAGGACGTGCCTGTGAAGGATATTGGGTCTCTGATTCATTCCTCTCTGCTTCCTCTACCACATACTCCTGTTAATATCATGCTTTGCCTCACCACATACTGATCTAAAATCAGCAAATACTATGAACTGAAACATCTGAATATGTGATATTAGATTGACCTTTCATTCTTTTATACGTTTCATGTCTAGTATTTTGTGATGATGACAGAAAAAACATTACCTACATCTTTTCTCAGACAAGCCTATAATACAGGATAAATATCATGTGATATATTACCACCAGTTATTTTGGGTAGTGGAAAAGAAAAAGAAAAAAAAAACAATCAAACAAATAAAAAGCCAAAGGAGTCTTTAATAATCAAAACCCAAAAATATGACTGAAATGTGAGATATAGACGCTGTCCTGCTAACCCTTAATCAAGAATCTCCTTTTGAGCTTTTCTCATTTTTTTTTCTTTTATTCTTAGAACTAGAAAACATTGTATAATGTGGTGAATATTAATGAATCTTGTTAGCTACCACTATTTTATCACTTTTTAAATACTGGGTAGGACTATTTTTCTTCAATGTCCTTGTACAACTACTCCAGGTAAAAATCTTGGTCAACACATAACAAGCAAAAGATGATATAGTTTATGTAAGGACCTTCTGGATATTTTCCTTATATTTCCTTTGACTTTTCTTGTGAGCAGGATTTGATTTCTGGACAGGACATTCATTGATCTGTCATGACAGAATATAATGATAAGGGACTGACTGAGGCTCTTTGACAAAACAGAAATTGACATGAGGAACAGATCTCACATGCAACATTATCATTTTGAATCAATCATATGTGCATTATTATAGCAGAGCACTTCAGACACTTTAAAAACTCCCTTCCCATCACAGGTCCTGGGGACATATAGAAGAAAATTATTCCATTCTGTTAGGCTCAATTTTCAAAGCTGTCTCCGGATTCCACACTCTCTATGATAAAATGTTTCAACAACTGAAGTCCTGAGTCCAGAAAACATGTGCACTGTGTAGCTAGCTTTGGAAACATCCACATGATACTGGTTTGCAGATACACTAAATATAAGCATTATGGAGTTATGGAGATTTTCACCACGTTTTCAAAATAATGAGAAGAAAGCCTAAGTGATCAAACACAAAAGTGCAGTAAAATTTATGACAAAGACTTCAAATGGAAATACTTATGGGAACTACTGGAACAGAGTAAGAGTCTAAAGAAATAGAACTAACAACTGTATGAACCACACACTCCAAAAGGCAGAGACATGAAGAAGACTCCTAAGGTCTCATTTATATACTCATTGTGAGTATATAAACTTGTACTTGGAAGTTTCTGTCCCAGTCATTCAGTACCAAAGAAATAGAGAGGCTTATATTAATTATAAACTGTTTGTCCTATTAGCTCAGGGTTATTATTAACTACCTCTTACAACTTAACCCCTATCTCTTATCTATGTTTAGCTACATGGTATGGTACCTTTTCTCAGTAATGCATTCTCATCTTTTGTCCTCTTTGTCTGGCTGGTGACTCTGTCTCTGCCTTTCCTCTTGCCAGAATTCACTTAGTCTGGTTGCCACACCTATACATCGTGCCTGGCTACTGGCCAATCACCATTTTATTAAACCAATACAAGTGGCAAATCTTTACAGTGTACAAAAGCATTATGCCACAGCATAAACTGAGATGCACTTGCAAGCAAGGGTTTTTAATCTGAATCAGCAAGACACAATTTTATAAATCTCCTGTACTAACCTGCATTAGGGGAACACCCCAAGTACATAACTGGAAATAGATAATGGAAGTGCCCTATTAACCACTGTAGTCATATGATGTAATATTTAAATAATCAT